CCCCAAAACCCCAAAACCCCAAAACCCCAGTAAATATTTAAAGAATTGAAACTATTCTTAATAAACTTAAGAGATCAAATGGGTGCAAGAAATGCAATTGCTGTAATCATTCACAAGACTTCTCTGAACTCTAAATTTATCTCCTCAATTTTTATTTGAAAATAGCAGGTGATCTCTTGGATCATTTATGGGGAGCCCAAACGAGATCATACACTCTTTTATTCAAATATTTTATAAGCTCAAGGACTCAACAACATATGCATTGAAAAGTGATAGAGCCCTTTAAAAATGTTAATCCCTAATACGTTCTAACTTATAAAACCTGCTGGCTAGTTTTAGGTCAAATTTGAAAACCTGACTTTACACGAATAAAAAATTGTGTTTCTCCAAATCCTTTGTCCAAATCCCATCATCGTGTTCACAATAAATTTGTTTGAGGATCCATTAGGTTAGGTCTAAATTGGTTTAGACTTTATCTTCTAGTTCTAATACCCCATATTAATTTGATAAATATAGAGAAGACCAAACATTAATAATGCTAAATGAGCTCCTGACAAAATAGCAGAGCCAATGGGAGAAGAGGTAGCCTTCTAATAATCCATCATTTATTGCTTAGGATTTTTAGCATTTAATAAACAGTTTATTCCTCTTAATTTTTATGCACATCTCATCAATTTTAGACCTTCAGGTTCATTTTACAAAAGTTCTTATTTATCGAAGTCTTCGGAGAGATTGAAGAGCTGAGGCTAAAGCTGGCAATCAATCCATTTGCAAAGTACTTCTATTGGCTAGTTGCGGTAAGATTTAACTTCATTTTACACTTTGGTTACTTTGCCAAACCACTAAAATGATATTTATCAAAATCTGACATTAGGGAATCCAATTATGAGATAAACAGAAGCTTCCTTTGTTTAAAGAGCTAAACCTTCAAGTCAGCTATGACATGAAACTGTGAGCTATTACTCATAGTAAGGCGTTACCTTAATCTTTAGAAAGCCTTACCTACCTCGTCGAAGTTATTCATGAGAATCTGCCAAAGTTCAGATTAGAAAATACAACAAAAAATTTACTGCCGATCAGCCCCTACTTAGCTCCTGTAAGAATAAGCCAATTTATGATGTAGATCTGCCAAATCTGCTCTAAAATATCAGGCTCAGTGATCATTGAAGGGTTTACAATAAAATGCGATGAATTATATCAGATGTTGTCAAGCACTTGTAAGTTTTATTCAGGCCTAATTTTGAATAGCCCAAAATATGTTGGAAAAGTTACATTTTAAAAACTGAGACTTTAATATCAAACAACAAGCAGATGACACCGTTAAAGCTCAGTAAGACTATGACTAATCAATGTAGGGTTAAACAAGTCATGATTTCTTTCCCTGATGATGCAAAAACAAAGCAGCAAATATCCTCTTTGAAGTCCAAAATTGGGACTATATTAAAAGACTGAGTAATTTGAATTTTTACTTTATAGTCTTTAGTAATTGTAACAGATGGGCAAGAATCAGAAATAAAAGCACTCGAGCTAATAAAATATTAATTATACCATATTTCATCTACTCAATTCTTATTGGTAGAAAAGGGGTTTTGGGGTTTTGGGGTTTTGGGGTTTTGGGGTTTTGGGGTTTTGGGGTTTTGGGG